CAACTCATGCAATGAGCACAGGACTTGGTCCCACTGCCTAGTTGCCTCCCAAACTGATCAAGCCAATCATCTGTCTTACCTATTCAGAGGGCCTGATCCAGCTGGGGGCCCCTCAGCCTTTGGTTCATAGTTCATGTGTTTCCATTCATTTGGCTATTATAAAAACAAATTTTAAAAAACATAAAATAGACAAAAACATGTTGCACGCTTAAGAATATAATAGCTTATTTATTTAATATTGAGTGTTTATTGCATGCCAGTGACTAAACTAAGTGCTGTACATGCACACACACATGCACACACACACACACACACACACACACACACACACACACACGTCTAATCTTAATGTTTTGCAAGAGTCTTGAGTCTTATGAGGTTGTTGGCTCTATGTAACTTGATTCTGAAGAGAAAATTATGACCATGTGAGCCTAACCTGCAACTAGAGAAATTCGTGTGCACATGAGTTTCTGACTTAACAAGTGATGAGATGTCGGCCACACTTGACTTTCTTGTATTGTCAATTGTGCAAAACAGAACATGAAAGGCAAAAACTAGGCGCCATGACATCATCAGAATTATATACTTTAGAAAAAAAATAAAAAGGGCAACAACATTGCATTACTTACCTCGATGCTTAGCTGTCAGGAAAGGTAACTGGGACCTAGGACCTGGTGTCTGCTTCTGTCACCCTCACCTTCTAAGCTACCATGAGTCAGTGCATCTCTATCCATGTTGACCAGGTTGGTGTCCAGATTGGCAATGCCTGCTGGGAGTTCCACTGCCTGGAACATGACATCCAGCCTGATGACCAGATGCCAAGTGACGAGACCATTGGGGGAGGAGATGACTCCTTCAGCACCTTCTTCAGAAAGACAGGCACTGGCAAGCATGTGCCCCAGGAAGTGTTTGTAGACCTGGAACCCACAGTTATTGATGAAGTTCACACTGGGACCTACCGCCAGCTCTTCCACCCTGAACTGCTCCTCACAGGCAAAGAAGATGCTGCCAGTAACTTTGTCTGTGGCTACTACACCATTCGAAAAAAGATCATTGACCTTGTCTTGGACCTAAATCACAAGCTGATCAGTGAGTGCATAGGTCTTGAGGGCTTCTTGGTTTCCCACAGCTTTGGCGGGGGAATTGGCTCTAGGTTCACCTCCCTGCTGAGGGAGTGACTCTATTCTTTCTGTTGATTACAGAAAAAAGTCCATCCTCAGGAAGTAGAAAGAAAGACGAATGTTTATGCTCTGCTAGCTTTCTCCAGGACTGAAACTAAGGAAATGGTACCACCCACTTTTATTGTGGGGCCTCCCTCCTCAATTAACTTAATAACTCACAGGCCTACGCAGAGACTAAATAATCTCTTGCAGGTGTGCCTGGAGGTTTGTCTCTCAGGTGATTCTAGATTTTGCCAGGTTGACAATCAATATTAATATTCACAATATCATAAAAGGAAAGGAAGAAACCTTGAGGATGAAGGTTGTTGTTATGGCTATTGCCTTGATAGATAGTCCCAAGGTGTGTGTGTGTGTGTGTGTGTGTGTGTGTGTGTGTGTGTGTGTGTGTGATCATCAAGTTCTATACCTTAAATATATTCATTTATGACTACCCAAACAGTATCAGTCATGGGTTCCATTCAAGGACATAAACATATCTAGAGAGATATATGATAGTCACATAGAGACAGATTATTTAAGTATATTTGTAAGTAATAAACACATATATTTATTTCAATTGAAAATAAATTTTATACACAATATATTATGATCATGACTTCCCCTTCCCAGATCTGCCCACCTCTCCAATCATCCAATGCCACACTTTCTTTCTCTCTTTAGAAAGTAAATAAACAGGCAAATAAAAAAAAAAACTAGAATTTTAAAAAACAGAAGAAGCACAAGAAAAACACACACAAAAAAAAAATCACAAAATCAGAAACCCTAATATACAATCAAAAGACCAGTAAGATTTAAAAAATGACACCGGGCAGTGGTGGCACACACCTTTAATCCCAGCACTCGAGAGGCAGAGCTAGGAGAATTTCTGTGAGTTCGAGGCCAGCCTGGTCTACAGAGTGAGATCAATACAGGCTCTAAAGCTACACAGTGAAATCTTGTCTCAAAAAACCAAAAAAACAAAAAACAAAAAACCAAAAAAAAAAAAAGATTTAAAAAAATGCCCAAACAAGGCAATATTAGACCAAAAAAAAATTCTACAAAAGCACCACTGAATTTGTTTTGTGTTGGCCATTTACTACTGCCCAAGGGGGCTACGGTGAAGTGTGGTTTATATATCGAGCGAGACTCCATTGGAGAAAATGAATTTTTCCTTTGCAAGCAGGTGTCATTTGGAGATAGCTTCTTGGTTAGGCATGAGGTGCTCATGTCCACTTCCCCCTCTCAGCACTGGGACCCCCTCTGACTTAGATCTGTGTAGGTCCTGTGCACGCTGCCACAGTCTCTGTGAGTTCATGTGTGCATCATCAGTCCTGCTGCATCCCGGAAGACACTGTTTCCTTAGCGCCATCCATCCATCCCCTCTGGCTCTTACAATCTTTCTGTCTCTTCTTCGGCATAGCTTCCTGAGTAAGCTCTGAGGGGAGGGGCTTAATAAAGACAACCCATTTAGAACTGAAGGTTCCAAAGTCCCTCACTGTCTCTCTGCACATTGTTCAGTTGTGGTCTCTGTATTTGTTCCCATATACTGCAGGAAGAAGATTTTCTGATGATGGATAAGCAAGACACTGATCTACAGCAGAATATCATTAGAAGTCGTCTTTTATTTTTTTTGCCATGTTCCCTTAGCAGAACAATAATATTTGGTTTTCCCCAAAGCACATGGTATATCTAGACTCAGGTTTTTGTGGGGAAGAGATGGGTAAGGGAATAGATAGATGATGATGATGATGATGATGACGACGACGACGACGACGACAATGGTGGGAGACAGATGATAGATAGGTAGGCAGGTAGGTAGATGATAGATAGATAGATAGATAGATAGATAGATAGATAGATAGATAGATAGATAGATTAGCAAATTGTTAGCAATTGTTTGAGTGTAGTGTCAGACTGTTCATTCAACTATTCTCTGAAATATTTGGACTATTTGAAAATCTTCATGATCAAACAAAGTTGGGGAGAAGGAAGAGGAAAATATCCATGCCTATTGATGCTGCTGACATATTAATTCTCGCCTGTACTTTTTCTGGGGTTTCCCTTGGGACTCCACTGTATCCGACCCATCTAGAAGACAGAGACGGTGGCTGGAGCCACAGAGATCTCATTCTGAGAGTCATAGGCATCTCCTGGGAAAGACCTCATATCAGATAAGACAGAAATAAAGTATAACATTCTTTGTGGGAGTCTGCCAGAATCCAGCTACAACCTGCTCCCATTTTTCAGAGGGTTCTTGGGTGGAGAAGAGAGGAATGGGGAAATATTAGGTAGAAATATAGAAAGAGACAATAAGAAAGACAGAGACACAGGGTAGCTTCGGGGTGGGGGAAGGGACTGGGTCAATACCCAGCCTCCCAGAGCTTTATTCAAAAGGGCTTTTGATAATATGCCAAGGGGAGAGGCAACAGACTCCCCCTTCCAAGATCAAAGTACACCGTACAACCAAGTGTAGACCCTTCAAAACACCTGGTAAACACGCCCCTGGCCAAATCATCCCATTATGCAGCCCTGCTGGATACAGCAAGCTCAGATTCTCTGACTTTGAGTAAGGTCTCACTAGGAAGCCTCTGTGGGCCACCACAATTCTTGAACTCAGAAAAACACCTCAGATGTGTAGAAAGTATATCACTTTCTATGCCTTGCCTTTCATGATCCTTCTATGTGACTAATACCGAAGGAAAGACTAAAACCCAAGAGCTAAATTTAGTATAATGTCTTTCAAGTAAAGACTTGTTCTCTTTACAGTAAATATTTGGTTTGGGGGATTTTTATTCCCACCTCCATCTCTTCTTTTCTTCCTGGGTATCAACACATCAGAAGCAGTTCACACTATGGTTTGGCCACCAGCAAGGAGATTTTTAGGCTCCATGCTGGGCACCAAGGACCTGAGTATTCCATCCATGATATTTCTTATCTCATCTCACCATTGGCATCTCCCTGCTGTTCTTTAGTCGTTACTAGTCTCTCTGTGGGGTGGCTGAGCTACTGTTGTGCCATGCTGGCATCTGTCACTGAAAATACAGAAGTGCAAGCCACTGTGCTGGACACACTCTGATGCCCTTCATCTTGGCCTGAGGCCTCTTCTTGGTCACCTGCTCTGTTTCTCTGTGTTTGTACTAGGAAGCTTAGCTGCTCTCTGTAAACTGATCTGCAGTATGAGATTGCGATGCTTCCCACAGAACCGGCTGCTACTCGCCTGGTTCCAAGCTTATATGAGTGTCTTAGGGCAGGAACAATAAGTCGTCACAAGCCAGGTGGCTGAAACTGAAAGAAATGCATTCTCTCACAGTCCCGGAAGCGTGAAGTATGAAATCATCGTATGATACAATTAGCTCCTTCCGAAGTCTCCAAGGAAGAATCTCCTTGTGCTTTTTCTTCAGCTTCTAGTAGCTGCCAGCAACTCTTGATAGTCCTTGGATAAGGACCACCTAACTCCAGTTTCTGCTTGTACCTTCACACAGCATTCTTCCCTCTCTAGGAGTCCCTTTCTTTTACAAGGACCCTTGTCCATAATCTCCTCCCCAGGCAAAATACCAAGAGCTTGATCTTAATTCTGTCTGCAAAGACCCTTATTCCAAGTACTGCCACATTCTGAAGTTCCACTGGACATGTCATCTTCAGGAGAATGCAAATGAATCCACTATCACTTTGAATTCAGAGCATCTCTAGTTTTAGTATCTTCTGAGACTATGCAGGAGAGAGAAGAAGCTGTCATACCCAAATTGCTCTGGATCCCTCTGTGGGTTTCTGTGGTCTCTGTGTACCTTTCAAGATGTCAACCCAAGAGGGCTAGGAAATGCTAACTCCTGTCTCACTGCTCATAGGATCAAAGCCAAAAATAAGATAAAGCCTAGTGAGCATTTCAGTAAGCACCCAATAAATAGTCTCCATCATGATAATGCTAATTACCTTTGTGCTGTGGTAATTATGTAAAATGAAAACCTACTAATAAAACTATCTTACATGATACATCAAAAATGATCACTCTCAAGTTATCAACAAACGTAATATTTCCAGTTGTGTAGACCTACTGTTGATTCTCATAAATACTAAGTATGACTGGAATAAAGTTATAAGATATAAAATCTTAGAGTTTTTCATAGAAACAAATATCACAGTGGAAATCTGTTACTGAACATCTGCATACTGTCTTCTGAACTCGGCATCCTAGGAATTAAACAGGAACAAGAGGAATTCTTCCAGAAATGTGATAGTGTTCTGTCATTGGTGGGTTTTTTTTTCTTCTTTTTCTTTTTTTGTAAGACCTAGTGGCTGATGTTGTTTCCTAGGAAACAGGTTGACATTTACCTTTTTGACCTTTAGAAAAAAAGAAAGAAATCTCTACCGAAGGCTCTTCCAACCTCATTCTAGGTTCTTGCTGGTTGCTGATGTGAGCTTATTTCTTACAGCCGCTGTTGATAGACTTTCTATAGATAGTCACACATGCATAAACAGCCACTGAGGGTCTACCATGCGCTGGGTCCTGAGAAGAATTAGACATTCACTATGATCCTTGACATCATCCCATGCAGTCATCTCTGAGAAATGATCCTTGCCCATCCCATAACACATACACCTTCATGCCCAGTATTCCTCAACACCATATCTGCACCATGCTTACAGGAATGGGGATTATTCTGCTGTATGGTACTCTGGGACCATAGGTTTACTACATACTCTTTGGTAACACTCTGTAACCAAAACAAGGATCCTCTTCTGTTCTTAGATTCCACAGTCATGTATCAGGTCCCTCTGCCTCCTCCTCCCCTCCATGTCCTCATTAAATACTTTAATAAAAGTGTTCAGAAAGGAAATTTTCATGTGGCCATGAATGGGCCCACTTTCCTCATATTTTGTGGCTCTATTTTATACAAATCCTGAAAGTCCTCTCTATGAAGCCACTAAACTCAGAAAGATGGCGTATGGAGGATGAGGATGGCTTGGGGGCCAGATATGGAAGGGGTGTGTATCACTGTTGCTAGTATTCCATAGGTTCC